TCACATGATACGCAATATCTGGAAACAAACTTTCTCTTTGGTCGCGAAATAATTGGCAGTGCTCAAATTGAGAGTTCTCCTCCAAAACAATTTCTTAGACGCGTCATCTTTCTTGTGTATTGATTTGCAGAAATGTAAATCAGACATACCTTGAAAATTACAACTAAGGTTTCAAACCATCCGTTCATATTAGTTATTTATGGTATTAGAGGTAAAAGTGACATATTATTTTGCGAATAAGATATGTTGCGATACGAGGCTGGCAAGTCAAAGTCGGCAACCTATGAGCAAAATAAACACCACAATTTTTGCCACATGTGTCATGCGTTATTTTTAAGACAGCCTTACTGTTTTTCCTTTTATTATAATTGAATCATACATTTACGAGTAGATGTATGAGTCAATCATTCATTTAATGGGGTATAAAGTAACATTAAGTTCAGATGTAGGTTATCAGACGAAAATAATATGTTTTCCTCGTTGCATTCACAGTTTTATCTGAACATTTGACCATCGTCTCACTTTTAGGACTAGTGCTAAAAATCGAACTGCTTTTAGCAGGGGCTGTCTGAAAATGTACTCATGTATTAAAGGTGCATTGTGTAATAAAACGACATTGAACTAGTATTAATTGCATCACGTGTGGTCGCGCCCAACATGGTACCGGGGAGCGTGAAAGGCGGTCCTTACGTTTGAGCGTTCCGGTGGCTTGGAAGACGCGATTTCGATTCAGGCTGTGTGCGAGTAATTAACTGATATGTTGAACATCACCTTTGTGGCGCCGCCCGGTATGGACTTCGTTCTGATTAGTGTTTTCCAAGATCACTTTCGGGCGTATGATCTTAAGGCCTCTTCACACGACGCCATTTAGAAGTGTTTCCGAGTGGCACGTCTGCAGGCAAAGCATTGGTTTAAATGGAAGTATTCACAGGTGTGGCGTAGCAGGGCTGCTATGGCGATCGGCGGCTGCTATAGCGGTCGGTCCACCAGCAGCACAGAGGCGCGTCCGTGCCACCCCTAGCAGAACATGGTTCTAAAAGGCAGCGTTCACTCAGAGAAACAGGTTTTGCCTGCTGCCTGAACTTCGGTCGTCTAAGCACACAGCGGAGCAGTGTGACTCACAAAACCAAGGCCCTATAACTCCCATTTAACGTTTAACGCTCTGATGCATCAATTTCTCACAGGAACTAAAATACGAACTGCTGCTAGCGATACTTTAAACGTGCGTAACCGCTACGTGAGTTCGCGGGTCGCAAGCAGGCCCATAATGTTACAAAAGATAAGGTCTATGTTCGCGCTTTCTTGATAGGTTTTTTATAAGTATAGATTATGAATAATTGTAAATTTAGAAGACACTTTTCGTATTTCCCACAAATTAGCCAATTTGTATGTGGGAAAGTTGGCGAAGCTACCCGGCAGCTGCACCCGGCGACACTAGCGCCTCCTATAGTAGCACTCTCGAGCTTTGTCCCCGGTTTTGATAGAGAGTTGCAGGGCCCTGCACAAAACCTCTTGCGGTCAGAGGTGGTCGGCGGTCGCTGAGTGTGAAGGACTCTACCGCTTCTCGGTGGCGCCACCGAGTGGCTCCGTGTGAAGGCAGACTGATAGAACAGGTCAAGAACCGCGCGCGATCTTCCCATCCCATTCCTCTTCCTTCTCTTCCTATCAACTCCTCCAATTCGAACTGAACGAAACTTCTGTAGGAAAAGAACCAAGTAAACTGCGGTTGCATAGAGTTATTTTGTAATATAATAGTGAAAATAGATCTTTCGGATTGTGTCACCTTTATATAAACGCAGTTCATATTCATTGACTATGATGGGATGAAAATACAGAGAAACCTTATTTGAATCTCTAAGGGGATACACAAAAAAATATTTTGTTTTGAAAACAGTCGTACAGTATTCTCTAACACTCACAAGTATTCCCTCGTTTGCTGTGGTTTAACAAGAGGTCGACAAATAGATTTCGAGTGGCTGAGATCATTTCTGTTTTTTAAGGAAACCAATGGTGCGCACGGCGAATACACTCTTGAATCTATTCTTAACAGTTAAATAGCACTTCTTAGAATTGAGTATGGATTTTTTAACCTATAAAATATTTTAAATTACCGAAAATAACCGTAAAAATTTGAGTTGTTCAGAAAGTTTTTGTCATTGATTTGAATATGCTTTCCAAAAGTAACCGTTTTTTTTTCATTGATCGAAAAATCAAAATGATACTGCATCTTCAGGCGCTGGAAGGTCAGAGGAAATATGAAGAAATTTATAATGCAGGATGTTCGACATTAACAATATAATCATTGAATTCATCCGCCGGCCCGAGGAGAATTCTAGAGGCGAGTTGTTCTGATCGGTAGATTTCCGTGGTTTCTCCGATCAATACCGGGCAAATGCCAGAGTGGTATTTTAACAAACGGGCCACGGACCGCGCGCGATCTTTCCCTCCTCTTCTTTATACATACATACTGTTACATGCACTACACTACCAAACACGACGGGAGACCAGACGGGACCATAGAGCTTGTCCTGGCTGAGGCGGTGCCCCGCTGAATGAGGAAAAGCCCGCCAGTCGACGTATGGGCCGACACTGGATCTCACCATGCAGCTGGGGATTAATACTGCTACCTTCCGCAATAAAACAAGAACTGCACTTACGGGAATGACCTTAGCATATAACACACGGGAAAAGAGAAATGACCAATCAATCAGTTAATAAAGACAACAGTAAGGGCTCCATTGGGCCCCTCTATTAGTCTTGGAATATCATCGTGGATTGGCTCCGTAACAGTCTTTGGAACTCAGGTCCTTGAAGCCGGAGGCCCAACGCATTTTCTTACTAAATGTCGCTGAGGCAGCTCGTGACTTGAAAAAATTGTTTTCGTTATGTTGGGGAAAAAATCGAATAAAAACTTTGAGAATCCAAAAATTGATGTTTGTGTATTTAAAAGGCACAAAAATAACAATAAAATCCAGTTATAATCAAATGGTTGTTGTTAAAGTGTCTTTTCGAGCTTAACGTTAAGCCAAGAAAATCACCCGCTTTGGAAAGAGTTTGAAGCAAGAAATTTTTTTTTAACTAGTGTTAGAAAAGCACAGAAAGAGAACAAAATGCTCTTAATAAGGTTTTGAAGTGCTAAGTTAAAGGTTTTGAAGCTAGCTTAATGGACGTAGTTAACAGGGACTGCTGAATGTAACAGACCACGTAGTACATCAGGGCTCCGAGAACGCAGAGGCAACCAACAAATGCCCTGTCGACAGCGAATACG